CTCTCTCTCTCTCTCCTCCTTCCTTCCCTCCCTCCTCTCTCTCTCTCTCTCTCTCTCTCTCGTTCTCTTTCTGTCTCCAGCAAAAGGTCAGGTCAGGCAGGGAACGCGCCGCGAAGGCAGAGGGCGTTTTCCCCGTCGTCGTGCTCGCGAACGGATCATCGGCGGAACGGTCGGGTCTTCATCGCGGTGCCATCCGAGGGTGCCATCATAGAGGGATCATCATCGTCGCCGGCTCGCGTCACCTCCGTGACAGACTGACAGGCGAATGAGACGAGAGACTGACTCCGAGGGTGGCTCGATTGCGGCACGTCGCGCGCACAGAACTGAAATCGCGAACGAAAGCGACGTCGTCTCTGCCGACGAAGGACGGCAGCGGCGGCGGCAGCGTCGTCGTCGTCGTCGTCGAGGTGGGGGCGGGCGTCGCGACGGCGACGGCGTGCAGAGGTTGAGCGCGCGCATCTGTTTCGTATTCGTTACGTCGCGGCGCAATCACGTCGAAGTGGCCCTCGAGTTGGGCCGAGTTGGTGACCGAGGCGATGACTTTAAGTTACCTCCGGAGTTATTAAGTCGGCCTTTTCGAATCTTGCACTCGACGAACGTGTTCCTTGACGATTGCGATATCGTCTCGAAGGAGGAAATGTATCCGAATGCTACTCTATAATCTATTACCGTTATTATCTTAAATGTAAAAACTCCACAATTGTACGAATAATATGAATGTGAGTCAATTAATACTCAAGAGATTAAAATGAAATATAAATATGTAATAAATGTACATGTAATTAATTAATATATTTACAAAAGTTCTTGTAATTCTTTTTACATTAATTTAATGTTATGATTTCCGATTGTCCTGTTGTTCTTTTGGATATTGCAATCCCTTTCTTTATTGTTCGAAGAAATAGATGTATTTGAAATATAAAGTTTCGATAAATTAAAATTAGGTAATAAATTATACCTGATTGATAAAAATTATAGAATTTATGAGAAATAATAAAAACACTATATGACAGATTAAATGTATTAAACATGGTTAACAAATTCACATTTTTTTTATTTGCGTCTAAATTTGTTAATAAAGAATAATAATATTTCAGTGATTTAGTAATAATCCTTAAAAACAGAACTTTGTATAAAAAAAGAATTTTATCACTTCATAATTTATTTTTGCATAAAAAATTATCTTCTTTTTATACAAAATATTTCTTTAATAACGATAAATGGCAATATTTAATTAATATTCGCGAATCTGAATAAAAGATTAGATATTTAATAGGTATTTCATTAAACATCCATTAAGCATGGATGCATATGAACGTAAGTCTCATATGTAAAATTAAAAAAAAAAGTCGATATTATTGGATTACGGATATTGTGAAGTTTGCTTGTGTGAAATTCATGATTATCTTCTTATATCATTTAGTATATCGATTTCTATCTGAAATTAACCGTCTCTTTTTCTCAAGGTCGCATGCACGATTAAAATCATGCGATTGGAACTTTTTTTCTTTTGTTTAATTCCAAATTCGACGTCAATTATGTGGATATTTTCTCTCTTTTTAGGTCACGCGATCATCTTCTACTGCCCCTTCGATCTAACTTTCTTTGAGATTGCGATTTTTCACTGTGAGACGATCAAAACCCGTGGGGAAAGATCGGAATTACCCCTGTCGTTCTATAGCTTTTTATAGCTCATAAAACGCCTGTCTTCATTTTATTTTTCTTTACTCATTCTATCTTTCACTATTCTTTTTTTTTTCTTCTGTTACCATTTCTCTTACATATCGCACTACAAATATATGAAAAAGGGCAGTTATTGATAATAAGAAGCAAATTGCTTGATTATCTCAAATTCTTTTCAATTTATGATAAAAATGGTCATATATCGATCACATATTTCATTAACTTGTGAACGTGCCACCATTTTTTATCTCTTTATACAGTCTGTTCCATAATAACATAGAAAGCATTTTACGTAACAAATCTCCTCATTTATCTTTTTAACACATTTTTTTGTTCTTATTATAACCTTATAAGTCAGATAATGAAGAAAACATATTGGATATACATATTTTTAATATTTTTAATATTATAATCCTTGTTAAATAAAAAATAAAAAATGAGAATGAAGTATACATGAAAAATAATCGATGTATATATTTCACGAATGCAAATATAATATTACTTTTTAAGGTCTCGAATTACAATTTCGTTAAAGATATCCGAGCAAATAATCGATTCTGTGCACAATAATAATAATAATACGCAAATTTATAAATAGAAATGTTTAAATTACGCATTTTTCAATTTAAATATATCAAATAAATTCTTGGGACGGACATTCAATGAATCAATAAAATTCCAAAATCCAAGTAATAATATTA